CAAGTAACCAAAGTCTGGTATTGCCCTTTTTTTTTTTTTTTTTTTTGGTTAATGGGGTGAATTTTTTACTATGCAGGGTGTTTTTTTTTTTAACATAACAGTTTTTTTAAAGCAGTGAAAGTTACACTTAAGTGTTTTGTGCAGGTGAGTTTTACGGCCAGGAGGAGAGAGTTTAGGGGGCTAATCATAACAATTAGTTGGCTAATGAATTAAAATTTGTTAATTAAATTTTTAATTAAGGAAAATAGATATATGGCTCCAATCAGAAACCTGCTCAACGTCATCGAAAACAACCATATCAACTGTTTCTAGAAGGATATAACGTGAGGGCAGTATATTACGACGTTCCGTAAAAATACTCATTTTGGACGCTTTTCTAGGTTTTGCTTTCTTATCCGAGCGCATCTTTGCGCCCACGGTCCTGCCCCCCAATGGTTGCGGCGCGAAGCCACTCCTTCGCCTCCCTCGTAGCATGGAGAGAAGTTGGGTGCACGTGTGTTGCGCGTCCCAACCACTGGAAAGCAGGACCTCGGGCGCAGAGATGTGATCCGATAAGAAATCTAAACCTAGAAACGCGTCCAAATCCAGCGTTTTTATGGAGCGCTGTAGTGTACTGCCTCTGCGTTATATCCTTCTAAAAATAAATTATTTAGTGGTTTTGGATGACACAGCTTGTTTCTAATCAGAATCATATGTCTATTTTCATTAATTAAAAAAGTTAATTAACAGGTTTCGATTAAATAGCCGACTGATCATTACGATTAGTTTCCTATACTATGTCTCCTTGGGCGTATAACTCACCTGCAAAAACCGCATTACTGTAACTTTCAAGGCTTTTTTTAAACAAATCTGTTAAGTTAAAAAAAAGAACACCATGTATATTATTGGTGCACGCTGCTGGCGAATAGTCCTGGAAGTTTCGTTCCACTATTTGTTTTAGATGGGTTTATTTTTTAGCCGTGTTCAGAAATGTTGGCTATTACAAGCTGTTTTCGTGTACCAAGTACGCATTTGTACTGCAGAAAAATCTTGGGCAGCTTCTAAAAGAAATTCGAGATAAATATTTTTGTGCAGCGCTCAAATTGCGATTTCTATATAATGCATACCTGTCGCTCCGTCATGTATTATCTTCTCTCGCTAGAATCATGAATGATCACCAAACGATCTACACTCATTAAAACTGAGTTCGCGATTTAACCTTATACATGGCTCCTTGGTTGTAAGTTCAATATTCGGCTAGAAAGTCGACGAGACCGATGACCGTTTTGGTTGGCCGCCACCGCGCCCGTCCTTGGCGCTGTCCAATCGCGTGCAATTTAACATTTAATCTTAAAAGGTGGTGCTCGCACTGAGCGTGGCGTCATAATCGGTGCTGCTGTGGAGCGGACAAAACCATCGTGTCGCCATGGAGTTTGTTGTTCGACGCGTAATCGGCTCATGAAGTCTACTTTACTGAGACAACGGTCAGCTTGGTCAGCAGAGGCATTCACTCTTAATTTTAATCAGTTAAAGACAGCAGCGGTTAGGCGAAATTTCGTTTAACCTTGGTGCTTAGCCCGATCGTGTAATGACAATCAACTTTTTTTTAGCCATGGGTACAAAATTAGGCACCTTTGTTTTATAACTTAAAAAGCATTTCAAGTTTCGTAACAAAACTTTCTTCCTTCTGAAATATTTTTTTTCCGTCTGTCTACCTCGTCGCGCGTCTGTTCTTAGAGATTTTATTTCTATGAAAAAGCAACCGTGAAAACAAGAATGACCCCTGTACAATAGATCGCACAAAAATATGGATCTTCAAAAAGTGATCATAAATACCAGAGTCATCCGCCTAGAAAAATAACGAGATCTCAGAACAAATTTACTCTACTTGATAAATGTTATCTTGTGTTGCCATCTCGTTTAATGCAATAGAACTAAAAAGTTCCTCGTAAAAGAAAAAAATATCTCAAAATAAATACATTGCGTGCTTGTATATTACCAGAGCCCACGCGGTGTATTTTTAAATAGAGTATTTTGTATTGTTTTTCACTTAAGCATAGAGTATTCATTTGAGTTAATTTAACTCACTCGATTGTAAGTACAATGCGATATTTGTGTGCCCGAATTTTGGGCATTCAATTAGATAATACATTGAATTGAACACTTTCTTTTCACAGATGTAATTATCTCAACGCACTTTCTGCTTACTACAAAGATATTTTTTACGTCTACTCTACATGTACTCACATTTTTGTATTTATCTACCAATTTCGTATGTTTTATTTAACTTTTATCCTCAATAAAGTGTTCTCCAGCAGAGCAGCAGTTTATGCCTATATGAGTTTTCAACAAGTAACACGTGTTTGATATATAAAATCTGTTTACTTCAAGGGTTCGTTAGCCAGCAGGTCGTTTACCTTGGTTCCGTCGACGGCGTCTGTCCCAGGAAGGATGTTGGGCAGATGGACTGGGTTTGTTTTCCCCTAAAAGTAATAGCGTAGCATCAGGTGAGGTCGTGTTTCCGTTGGAAACCGCGTCGCACGTGTCTGATAATGCCTGGCCATGACAGTTTTTCTGTATGAATCATCCCACCTCATAAAAGACCCAAGACTCATACGCACAAAATTCAGCTTTCATAATTAGCTGTTGTTTCTATCGAGCTGCTCGAGTCAATGGAAATGCTAGGCCACCGAGTAGGGACACTTTGGCTATCCTGGTGCTTACAATCACAGTGGCCAGCATTTGAGTTTTATGCCAATTGTCAAAAAACATCCTACAGAAATGGTAAAACAGTCCGGGACAGATCATGGCGATATTGCCTGAGCTTTCGCACGGGTTTTCTAAAGCTCAGGATGTCGCATTCTCGAATCATAACTATCGCCATTATCGACCTTATTTCACTAGGCAACAAATTGGCGGTGTCCACAAGGGAATCGCCGAATGTAGTGTCGGTACTCTGATGTGTATGTAATTTAAAATGTCTCTAAAGGTTCCTATCTTGAGTAGCATTTTCTTCCCCTGAAACGTCCTACCAGGGGTACGTCTCGGTATCTGGGATGGCTTCTCAGAATTTTTACACTGAAATCCTTCCTAATTTCGCTCATTAGCCGTGTAATATCTATGAGTCATAAATATCACCTTCTATTTTCATAAAAAAGCAGTGTTCGAAACAAATTCAACATGATATTTGTGCAGTATATATTCCGTTTTCAATTGATATCCCTGAGGGGCCCGCATTATTTAGTTCTAATGCACACTGAAGCGGCAAATGCCCTTAAACTACTAGAGTCAGCAGCTTTAAACAAATCGATTAATGGCGAAAGAAATATGTAGTCATCTCGTCTCCTTCGAATAGTAACATATAAAAAAGTCTCCAATTTATTTAAAGTTAGACAACTTGTTTCTTGCTCATATGCATTTCAGTGTAAAAACGGCATATTATTCAATATGCTTACGTGTTTATAATAGAAAAGATACAGCCAAACATTAGTTTGGTTGTATGTTTTTATAGCATCAGTGTTATTCATCGCTGATACTCCACTAATTTTATTTAGGTTTACTTCGAAATAATGAAATATAGCTAGGCACACCCGAATTCATTTAAAAACCAGGAGTCATGGACTTCTTAAGAAAATAAATGGAATCATATGCATGCGAAAACTAAATCTCCAGTGCACATCAATGCAATACCCGAAACTAAAGCAGTCACCTGAGTAATTAAGTTAATTTCGGATGCGCCTTTTTTTTTCTTCTCAGTCACACGCCTCTGTTTTTTTGTTTTATGACAACCAGGGCGTGCTTCACGCCTGCCTTTTTTGTATGTTTACCAGCTTTGTGATCATTGCGCAACTCTCTTCTTCAACCGAAAGAACAAAAAACGACTACAGGATCTTTCACAGGAATTGTTTATTCCCTATCGAGCGTTTTCATGTGGTACCAGGCCTAGTGCAGTAAGAATATTTCTACACACCTCCAGATCGGCGGTACGAGATATGTGGTAATCGCTGTGTGTGGGGAGGGGGGTGTATGTATGTTTCTGTGTGTGTATTGTAGGTGCATGTGTTTACAGTGCTCGATTCAGTTTGTGCTTTCCTGTGTAACCTGCTGGGTCTTGAAACCGGCCTTAAGAATTTTAAATAAATCAGTAGACAAATTTGAAACGCTTGTAACCCTCCAGTTTGTTTTCAGGATCAGTATAATACAGTATACTCTCCCTTTGTAGCAAAAAGTGATACTCAAGCATAGTGAATACATTTTAGTAAACCCAGAATTAAGAAAAAAACTTGCGTTCGGGGTTCGTTTAGCCCCTAGGTTCGCTAAGAAAAATGGAAATCACAAAAGAAAAAAAAAGCTAAATTAGTTCGTCTATTTCCATCTTGACAGACGAACGCATACGACCTAACTGTTTGGTGCCCTCAAAATGCCATCACATTTAGAAAGTAATATATACCTGCCAGTGTATACCACTATAAACTTGAAAAAAAAAACTGATTATTTAGCGGGAAAAGTAAAATGAAGAAAAGGGCTCGCACACGGCAGAGGGCTGCCGCTTGCATACCTGTGCTTTTTCTGCGGTATGGAACAATTATCCCATTCAAAAGACCTGTCTACCTTGTTTCCGCATTTTCCTTAAACGCCGGAAGAACTTTGCTTTTGCGAAAAACGTGTTTTCCGCCCAGCCTTAGGTCGTATTCCCTTTCTAGTTAATGGAACATAATTTTTGTTCAAATGGAGGTCGTTGGCAGGACAGTTCAACTGCGCGCCAGTCGCTCACTTCGGAGCTATTTAAGTAGCGACAATACGGCGTATGATGTTATGTGGACTCGCGGCATCTATTCCAACTAACATCCGTCACGTGGTAACAGACGCATCCGAAGCTCTGCATAATGCTATACGGCAGGTGGTTCGAAATGTGAGCAAGCGGCGTTGTTTTTCTTTTATAAAAAAAACCTTTTTGTTTTAAACGTAAAACAATATTAAAGGAAATCAGCTTGGACATTCAGTCGCTGTTAGGAGGGGAGTTCCGATAATCTTACACTTTCTGTCCCAGAAAAACAAACATGAGTTCGCGTTCGCAGTCCACGGTCAAGATGCTAATCGTTTTTGTTCTGAGCACGTCTTTTGATTCATCAGTAAGGTAACTTGCTTTATTTGTTTTTTCGTGGTCAATTTCTCTAACCGTTCTCGACTGTATTGATTTTAAAAAAAATGTCTATTTCATTGTACGTACCCGATTACACTCTATTTCATCATCATTCTTCACCTCCTACTGTCACGTTTGTCTTGCAGCAAACGGTCTCTTTAGGAGACCTACACAACGTTTATCACATACCACTCTAATGAATTCCTAAAACAAAACATTAAAGCACGTTATAAAATATCTTCACCATTGGGTTCTGCGCCACCAACTTTGAAGTTTACGTGCGAGGATTATTAGCTGGAAATAATATCGATGTATAAATGAAACAATTTGTCTTGCAAAAAAGTGAATATTCATAGCAAAGGTTCATAAAATGTTAATCTAAGACTGTGAGATATTTGTAACATCGGCGCACAGATAGTACCTAGTTACCAATTTGCAGTTCGAAATAAAAAAAGAAAAGTTGAAAAATTTTGCCACAAAGTTTTGAGCACTTTTTTATGCTCTTTTCTGTTTTGTTACCCTAATTTGAGGCGATCCTCTTCTGTTGCGGCGTCAACTTCGCAAACATATCAGAACGCTTTTTGTCCCGGAAGATAAACACACCATGTCAACAATACAATATGGTTTCGACCCGTTTGGATTCAGTTAATTTTATAGGTACTGCGGTTTCACTCTATGTATGACCGCAGCCGATGCTGCATTCTGACGGAGCCAATCAAGCTGCTGCAAAAGTGCATCGTCATGGCGCTCGTTGTGTCTGTTTCTTTGCTATCGCCGACTAAAACCAATCACGAACGCTGAAGGTGCCGCAATTCTGCGTTGTCTTCTTTTTTTTCTTTTTTTTTTGAGGGGGCGGGGCGGTGATCGGTCTAGCCTACACGTTTAGAAAAAAACCCGTATGAATGTTTCATACCGATATTCAAATAGCGTTATGGGATACGGGTCATACGGTTGGTACGGGTCGTATGGTTGATACAGGTTGCATGGTTGATACGGGTCGTACGGTTTGCACAGTCCATATAGTTGTTATGGAAGATACTGTCTACGCAGTTTATAAGGCTGATATGATCTCTAGGCCAACACGCTGTTTACAAATAAGCCCTCACGAGGTGTGGGAAAATGTGCAGTTTCCACACGAGGTGTGGGCACTGCGCGTGCGCAGGAAACAGATTCGCATGACATGAAGCCTCTGCACATTCGCCCTAACATAGCAGCGCCACCGTACCGACGTGACGTCAGAGCAGCGTGTTGGTGTATATCGGTCGTATTAACCATATGGTTCACACGAATCATCCGTCACTGCATGCGGCTTATAACTGTTTTGTTTCAAACTTGCATACGATATTTTTGCGTAGAATGTCCAGCAGCCCTTCCAAATTACCATATGATAGTGAGTTGTGTATGTGCACCTCACAAAATGTGAGATATCGTGGTGCATCATATAAGTTGCACACTCTTTAGAAACAAGAGAATGAAAAGGTGACGTTCCGCAGGGAAATGCTTTCCCTCGTAAAGCCTATGCAAGATAGCAGAAAATGCCTGCACAGAGAAATGCTACGACTGTTAGAAATGGCGAACACGCATTCCACCCGCAAGCTTCTTTATTTGCCCCTCCGCCTCAGGCTTTGAAGCGACTGGCGCATATAAGGCCCACATTTCTTTGGGGCGAGCTGCCTCTTCTTTTCCAGTTGGTCGCAGGCAGATGAACCTGCGGTAGGTGTCTAAAAGTTATGTAAACAAAACAAAACAGACAGTCCCATCACATGTTCTTGAAAAATAGTTTGTACAGTATTTATTTAGTCAATAGACCCTTTTCAAAAGTCCGTCAAGCAACATTGGCGGTCACCATTGCTTGCTCACAAAGTGCATGACTGGATCCAAGTCCTCGTGAAACACTGACGCAGCGGTCGTTTTCAATATGTGCTCAGAGTATATGAGCAAGCAATGGCGGGCAGGCGTTCGCCTGGACGTTGGAAAAGGGTATATTGATTTAATTGTGACTTAATTTTGATGCGTGGCTTAATATGACTTTATCTTTAAAATCATCTAACTTCTGCAACTTTCACAACTTGAAAACGCACAAACATTTATTATGTCAATGCATCACCACATGATGGAAAAAACATAGCATACGACTCCCGAGTGCAAAATATTTGGCTAGTAAAATAATCCCAACATTCAAATTCTTTAATTTCATAGAATAATGAGGCCATAAAAATAAACTAATATTTTGCATTCGCGTACGTTCAGCATTCATAAGAGTAACATATCTTTTGAGCAGTGAAGATTGTGGCACCAAAGTGTTCACCAGAAAACTGAGGTAGAGGGGGATACGAGAGCATGCGGGGTCGTCAAAACACCGATCTCTGAGTGGAATGATTAGTAGGTAGACGAAAAGCTAGGTGCCTTTGCCTCCACTGCACTCGTCGAACGCGAGCGAATGCGAAAGCCAAAGGTCGGACGCCAGGCATTTAACGTTCAATGGAAACAAATTTTTAACAACACGTCCAATGAGTGCAGTGGAAACAGAGGCTGCTAGCTTTAGGTCTACCCACTAATCATTCGAATGGGAGCTCGGCGTTCTGACGTCCCCACGTGTCCTTGTATCATCCTCTCTGTCACTTTCTTGGCGCATGCTCTTCCACTTTCTGCCCAATGTTTCCCATGCGGAGGGATTTTCGATTTCAAATAAGCACTAAGTCAACTAAGGAAATCTCCACCCTGAACAAGTGCTATGAAAATTGCGTTAAGCCCACCTTTAATCTCTGAAGCCTGTTGTTAAAAAAAAGTATTTTAAAGTACCAAAAACAACCTGCACTATTACTCCAGTTTATGAAAATGTAGCCACATGATCTTAGTATGTCATAATTAAAACAAAAATATATTTTATTTATGAACAACAACTTTTAGTTAGGTAAATCGTCCCTGCAGTCTTTTAAGCGCCAATTTTAGTTTACACTTGAAAAATTACGCCAGAAATGCTCGAATCCGGGAATTATCGAGGAAATAACCTGATTTCTGCTTGATTGTTTCAAGCACAGCAACATGAATTCCATTGCACCCAATAGTGTGAACACTGCCAAATACTTAATTTTAAATTAAAAAAGCGTCATAACTCGTAAGTTAGTTCATATATTTCATCATTCTCCTCAACATGCAACTCTCAAGACATGTGCTATGAAACCAATTAGCACGCTATGCACAGGTACAATAGCACATTAAGATCTGCCAAAGCATAGTGTTCAAACCACTACGCTGTCAGAAGGAACGCTGTGAAAAAAATAAGAAGGATGCCGAAACACAGCAGGAACTAAAGCTGAGTTCGGCAGAATTTGCCACACTATTTGATCTCACAGATTGTAAGTACCGTGCTTTTGACCATTTATAAAATTTCTGGCTAGAGTACTACAGCAATTCCACAACATTGGCTCTAAACAAAACACTCTATTCCTTTTAGTATCTAACTACCGAGTTTCACAAAATATCAATGTGTTACGTTAAGATACACGTCGCTTTGCTTCTCCCCAGGCTAGCAGGAAGTACAAGCTTCTGGCACTAGGGGCTTGTGTTCCTAAAGCCATGAGCTCATGGTCGCGTAGTTCACTTCACCGCTCAATCCGCCACACTTCTAGTGCAATATGGGGAATGCTTGGTCAGTATATGTATCGTTCAGGATGCTTGGTCACTAATTATAATGATTAACGTAATTTTCCGCATATGTGCTCAAAGTGAGTCTCTAAGAAGTTTCAGGAATATTAAAATATATAAAGAATTTTAAAACTCATCACCTTTTTTTATTTAACACTGCCGTTCCACACGGGCCCTAGTAAATTTATCTTCCAAATAATTTTGGCTTCTGCCCCCCGTATTCACGAGATGTCGTGTTAGTCATAACAGTAGAATAGAAAGGGGTTCATGACAGCTCTTCAACTGCTTCGGTGTATCGCACTCCTGTATGCTATACTCCATTCATACTCCGTTTAACGATAACTGTGGAGGCTAGCGTCTCGCGGCGAAGAAGTGACCAGCCACCACGGAGTTCGGAGCCCAAGTGTTTTCTTACCACTTTCAACGAACTCAAGATAACCAAGAGCATGCGCACTCGCAAGGACGGAAGTGCGCGTCGCCGCGGGGCACGTGAGTAGAAGCTGTCCAGTCATCACTGGATCCCCCCGTCCCCCCTTCTAAGTTCTTACGAGTCCAGTCGTACCGGTTCTCTTACTTGGCGGCCCGACCGAGTCACCCTTATCGGCGTATTTTCCGTCGATGTTGATGTTGACGGGGGTTCGTCAAGCTCGTTAGAGCTGCTGTTGGTGCAGGCTCAACCGCAATCGGCTTTTGTTGGCTCTCTGCACCCGAACTTGTTCTCGCCGTTGAGACCGCCGGACTGGCTGGAGTCATAGTCTTGTTGGGCAAACTGCAAGTTTCCGGACCGTCAGAGACCGCCGGAGACGCGTTGAATGGTACCAGGTGCCGGCGGTTGCTTTGCAGGACTCCGGTCTAGGTCTCAACTACGTAGGAGCGCGGTCGCTTCGCTGGACTGAGGACTGTTGCTCGGCATCACAGGTCTTGCACCCAGACGTGCTCTCCAACGGACAGCGGGTGAAGTTGGCGAGTTGCGTGACGGCGATTGAAGTAATTTCGCTTGCGTCTTCGGGCCTCTCTGTCTTTTCTTTTGAAGACCGGACATGGTGGCTGCAACGTCTCTGAAATCTTTGGTACCTTAGTCTGCAACCACTGGCCCATTAGCAGTTGTGACGGGCTGTAGCCGGTCACTCTAGGAGTGTATCGGTACACCATGAGGGCCATGTGCGGCTCCCTTGATTGTAGTACAACTCTTTCATTGTCCGCATCATGCGTAAGCTTCCCCATTCGCCTGTGCGTAGCGTGGCCCGTTCGTGACCTGGTGGAAACCGTAGCTTCGAGCGAACTCAGCGAAATTTCTCAAAGAGAACTGCGGCCCATTGTCCGATACCAGCACGTCGGGGATCCCAAACCGGGCGAATGTGCTATGGACTGTAGCGGCGACGGACGCTGATGTTGCCGACGTCAAGCTGATGTCGCGACGAGCAGCACGTAGTGTCTTTCTTAGATCTCAAACAAGTCCACACCGACTCTCTCCCACGGACGACTGGGAGTCGGTCTGCTCATGAGCGTCTCGGAGTGATGTACTCTTGTTTGGGCCCACCATTCGCAGGCTTTGACAAGTTGCTGTATTTCGCTGTTTAGAGTAGGCCACCAAACTGCGTCCTTTGCTCTTGCCTGGCGGCTTCAGATGCCCTGATGGCCTTTATGTATCAGCTGCACTATCTCGTGTCGCAGCAAGCGCGGAAAAAAGATGTGGCGATCTTTGAGTAATAAGCCAACGCGCACAATGGTGTTCCCTCTTAAATAAGTGGATTGAATGATATTCAGAGCGTTTCTAATACTAAACATATGTTTAATTTCAATTATTGGTTCGTCCATTACTGCTAGTTAATTATTAATTCGTTAGCATTATAACCTACACACAGAGAAAAGCTGACGCCGTCCGTCTGCGGACAAGGCAGGGAAGCGCGCCGCGTAAAGAGGAGGAAAGTAGTGAAGGACAAAGGCGAGAGGGAGGAAATTGGAAACAGCGCGCTAAAAGACGAAGACAGCGAGAGAAGAGCATGCACAGGACAAGCGCTGCCTTGTCCTGTGCTCTTCTCTCGTTGTCTTCGTCTTTTTGGGCGCTTTTTCCAATTTCCTAAGTCATGAACAAACTCGCTTGCATCGCCACCTTAATGCGAGAGGGAGGCGACGTCAAGGGGCCGAAATCAATGCGTGCGCGGGAAACCGGTGAACAGCAAAAGCGGTATAAGGCAACGGCAGGCAGCGGCTGCCCCTGCTAAGTGTGCAAGGCGGGCGAACAAGACAAAAGACCGGAAGCAGCGCCCAGCTCGATTGTCGGAAACCGGACCCAAGAAGAGTGAATTGTCTTTTTCTTGGTTTCTTTCGTAAAGAAGAACGCCAACATTTGACTTGCTATTGTTTATCCCTTCATTTCTGACTCATTTGGGGTGGTGTTTCAGCAAATATCTAGGCTTGTACGAAATACCTAGAACAATCACCCTTAAAAATTGAAGTTTCTCTTTTTCTCTTCTCGTCCTGTATGCTATAGTAAGCCGAGATCACTAAATGTGACACATGACAGACAAGCGATTGCCGGAACGAGCATGGAAACACGGAATGTTGAAAAGACAAAACAAGAAATAGGCCTGGTTGGAATTCCTCTGAGCTGTGGCCAGGTAAGAAATTACTCCAGGTAATTTTCCACGCAGTGTATATGCATACCTTTATTTTGCCGCAAGTTAGTGTTAGTGCCAAATATATCAAAGTTGTTCAGGGTGAAAAAAGACTGAAAAAAACGCTTTACGCCTCTGGTCTCCTTCGTCAGAAATCACATGTAAAGCTTAGCCATTTACTTCGCGATTTAGATGACATTAGATATAAATTATTTTTCGAAGGTTTAGAGTCTCGTTACTGCGTTATTAGCGTTACTGTAATAACGCTAGCTTACGTTAATATTATTTTATCCCAAGGGCTAAGTTGGAAACCCTGTAGGAAACTAGAAAAGATGCAATATAGCCGCGTGCGTGTTTCGAGATGGAACGCTTCTCCGTTCCTCTTGGTGATACTTGTTTACTCTTACACCGAGCGTCAAGGATGATGCCGGAATTACTTTTCCTAGTCAGTCTCGCCGAACGTTACTAGGTCCACTCAGTTGGAAAACTGCCATAGAGCCTGCTACGGAAAAGTGGCACCGTTCCACACTCGAGAACAGAGCAAATGGCGATCGCTACGCCGCCATTTTTCCCGCAGCGGCCACTCGGGGAACTGCAGGGCTGCTTGTTTTGGTTCGGGAGCATCGCATTAGAAAGCGCTCGCTGTGATTTTTTTATTTTGGCTTTAATCGACCAATTTGGTGGCGAAACATACACGGTAGAAGGGGTTTCAGGAATGCCAACCCCCGTCTCCCAAGCGAACACGCCACGAATTACTTCCCAAATTTGGACACGCGCAGGTCGAAACGCGCTTAATGAAATCACCGGTGAGACATGGTTGTAAAACAACAATATAAATTGGGCAGCAAAACCTCTTAAACCAAAGACTTTAAAGGCATCACGCACCTGTTATTGTGTATTAATCTCCAATACAAGTTTTACAGAAAGTGCTTTTTACGGTTGTTTTTCACGCAAAAACATGCATTCTGAAAGCTCAAAGTGACCACAGCAAAGAAAAAAAAGATGAAGTTGCCATCTTGGCCCCTTGAGCCTAGGAGTTTCGGTACTTAGGGAACATACAGTTACTCTAGCAGTAGCCATATAAGGCAACTTTCATATTTCAACTCGTCGCTAAAGGGTGTATCGTATTTTGCTCGGTCTGGGTGAACACCAGCGGCCCAGGTTTCAATGGAAAGTTTCCCAACTGGCTGTTCTAGTACCGCTAGTCTCGCCTTGGCTAATTTCCGAGCATTCTAGGCTGAATCTTCGAGAAGCCGAATTTAGTAGATGTGAAGCGGAGCGCAGTATTGCCGACTCATTCACGCCTTCACTCTCGCGCTTACCAGCTGTCACATCGACGCACCGTCGCTAGCTGCTGCTTTTTCGACGTTCATTCTTTCTTTTTTTCTGGCACAAGTGAGCTTAAAATCACATTTTTTTAGTTCAATATTCATCGTCTTTTTGTGTTCCTCCGTGACAGCATTGGTTAGCTATTTGGTTAGTAATTTAAAATATTAAATGCACGTTTTTTGTTGTTGTTTGAAAAGGTGGGAAGGGGCGTACAGTAATAGTTGGAAACTTGGTGGTCGGCCTCGATATAACCTAGCTTTGACAATATACGCTAATAAAAAATTGTAGAGGGCAATACAGAGCGAGAAATGCAATCTCTTTACACAGCTTCAAAGGCTAAACTAGCCAGAGAACCGCCCCCGTGACATTGATCCCTCATATCCCCCTGATAAAATGGTTCAAGCGCAGGTCAGAGGAATCGACGCCACAGGCCTTCGCTGGTTAGTATCGGTTTCGAAGCCCTGTATTAGGATGATATTCCCGAGTCACGTAGTAGCGACTACTACTAAATTTTAACCAAAACTTTGCGTAACGGCTTAATTGTAATGAGGCCAAATATCAGTTTTACAACTGTATGATGTTATAACTAAAACTAAAAAAATATAAAAATAATTTTAGAAATGTTGCCAACTAATTACCGAGATCACCTATTTTCTTGCGGTCTCAGGGTTTGCTACTCATCTCAAAAATTAAGAGCGCCTAGACGATTTTTTTATGTACTGCACCCTGTCAAATCTATCCTGTAGAATCTACGGTGTGTATTAACATCACTCTCATAGTGAGGAGAAATGTTGGTCGGGAAGAGGTATCTTTTCCCTTGGCGATTTATCTAACGAGACAAATCACAAGTCTGGCTACCTCTGGTGTGGCATATTAGAAATTCAATAAGGATTACGTGTCTATGCTCTACACGCCAATATTGACAATGCGAACCTAAGGTGCGATCGCTGCCATATGGAACTTACAATTTCTAGTTGTAAATCAATAAAACTCTCTCGCAACATGATGCACGCCCTTCCTAATCAACGAATAATTCTATCCTTCATGTGCCCTCCTCCAAGTATCGCGGTGTTTTTATTTATTTAACAATACGGAGGGCAAGTTCGTCTGCTCCTTGCGCAGGGGTAGCGGTGACGTCAGAACGCCAAGCCCTGATCGGCTAATCGCGACCCCCCTATCTGAGCGTCGTCTGCTCCTTTGCAACGTCGTCTGCTCGCAACGTCGTCTGCGCCTCTCTTACCTTTCCTGCGACTTTCGGAAGTGCAGAGGCCAGATTCACGAAACCATCTTACGCCAAAAATGTGCGCAAGAACAAATTCGAACAAATTCGTATTCGCGAAATTAAATTTTCGTAAGTTTTGCGCAGGTTACGACGAAATCCTACGACAGCTCCGAAGCTGTCTTACGCACTTCTCACGATAAAATCAGCATGGCCGACAACGTTGCGGTCGCGACGACCCACGGACGTTTATTTTTCTACGTGCGCTTCTCTCGCGTCCCGACTTCAAGCAGCAGGAAAAAGTAAAAAGTACTTGAAACAGACCACGAGGAACAAGAACGCTGGATCCACAAACACCCGGGAAAAACTCCAACGGCCACGATTCCACCGAACGCGACCAAGCGAGCACTGCCCTTATGCTTAGCAGGCACTCCGCGGCTAGGCTACCGTCTGCCCACGACTGGCTGCGGTGCTGAATGGAATATGTCCGCGGGACCTTGGTGAACCCTTCCCGTATTGTACTTTGATCGCTGACCTCAATTTTAGATTAAGAGGTCAATTTCCTCCTCTTGTTATCTCCTTGTTTACCGAGGCAACGGTGACCCCCGCCTGTGAAAAAGCGGTGAATCTCCGACAGACTCAGGAAAGGTAAAGCAGCCTTCGCTTTGACTAGCAGACGTAAAGCAGACGACGTTAAGTGCGCCAACCCGCCGACGCCGTTAAAGGGTGAGGGGTCTCGCCGCACACGAAAGGAGGGAAAAAGTATTTCGGAGGGAACTTGCGGAACCTAACACGCTCACTCTCGGTTCTTAGCAAACAAACCTAAGAGCCTCGGGACACCTCGGCAGTGAGTCCTTTGACTTCCCTCCTTGGTGCGCGTCTGCTATAGTTGTTAGGCAAAAACAACGTACCACTCGAGTTATTTCGTCTGCCCTCTCTGAAAGGCGAAGTCGAGCTCGCTCGTAAAGACCTGCACTTCCGAAAGTCGCAGGAAAAGTAAGACTGACGCAGACGATGTTGCGAGCAGACGACGTTGCAAAGGAGCAGACGACGCCGAGATAGGGGGTCGCAACAGCCAATCAGGGCCCGGCGTTCTGACGTCACCGCTACTTCCTCTCTCATGCGCAGACGACGAAAATGAGCCCACTTGCGAGGCGTACACTGCAGGCCCCGCTAGGGCCCCGGCAGGGGTGGACGTGTACTACATAGTACAGGACATAATGAAAAAGGGAAAACTTCAATGCAATGAAACAACACTCTAACACAAAAAAATAGCAAAAAAAATTAAAATAAACCGTCAGGTTTGTAGAGATCGTAGATGTTCAAGAAAGTCTTCCGGCGATGAGCTGTCGACGAGCTCTTTAGGGAGTCCATTCCAATCAGTTATTGTTTTTGGAAAAAATAAGTTTTTGAAAGTGTTATTGTTACTGCTATATGACAGTGTTGGAATAAATATCTTTCCTGGAAAACCCATGCGGACTATGGAACTAACAATTATAATTAAATATTGGGTTACATCAAAATGAATTGTTTTCTTGTCCCGTTTTAAATATATTTTTTTACAAAATTCACCAAATCGTGCTAAACTTGAATATGGGGCATTAATATATGACCCTGGCTTCATCCTTGCATCTGCAGTAGCAACCATACAAAATCGCTCAACTCGTGTTATAGTTCCTATCACCGCGCAGCTAGCATTATATCCGCGAAAGCATGTGTATGCTTGCCTAAACTCTTCATTTGTAGAAAATTATATTTCCCGGGTTTGTTTCAAAATATTTATCACTCTAATTTAACACTTCGCCAAACAGTATTTTCAGGACAATTTTAGATAACATCACGTACCAATTATCAACTAAAAGCTAGTATCCCCCCTCGTAGCACCTCTACAGTTTAATGCCACGAACCCTCACTGATTGGAATCGCTTTCTTGACCTCATCGTTTCATAGCGTCGCACGGTTAATTTTGTTATAGTAAGCTCAAATTTGTTAAATTCTGTTTCCTGCTTACTCTGTATTTTTGCGTTTTTATTGTTCTTTGCTTTTGCTACGGTGCCCACTCCTTTCTAAAATGTTCTCGGGTGCTGAAAAAAAAAGAATGAATAAAAAAAATGTATATATATTTGCAGAAGTGCTAGACCCGAGTCTAAGTTTCCGTGTGATGATAAAACAACCATTAATGGAGTACCATTCTTAAATTTGTTCTGGCATTTATGGGGAGATATGTAAAAGGATGGTGGAAGAACCGGGCAGTAAGCCAAACTCAGACACTTGTTCGGCAATTCGGGTCGGAAATACCCGGTTTCTAGACGAGAACATTACTTTTTTTTTTCTTGGGGGGGGGGGGGGGGGGGGGGTTTAGGGCCCTAAATTGCCTGACAAACAACATGTTATAGACCAAATAACTCTTCTACTTGTGTTTGATACACATATCATGTCTAAATAATTTTCAATTCGACGGTGTAGCTGTATGGGTTGTGAGATTTTGCCCTCTTGCGTCCTTGGCTAACAACAAACCCTTAAGAAAAAACGCTACTTTCTTGAGTGCCACTTGTTGTTTTCCAAACAACTTTTGAACGTATTTATAACGGGGGAGTATGAGAAATTTGCAGGTGAGTTCCTACGCAAAAACAGATCTCTGTCTCACTCTGGTTTTATCAAGAACGTCCCGTTTGCTTCTGCGTTGACCAATTTTTTATGTGTATATGCATTTATTGTTTGCATAATATTTTTATGCTTGCACCGTTCTCGAAAAAAATATTTACAAAGTACTAAATCATGAACAAGCACTTTCTGTTCATGCCCTGTACTTCACGCCAATAAGTAGAAAAAGGTTTCAGTTCTCTGTTTACATGTGAAAGCTTTTGCGAACTTTTTGTTAATTTTATTTACTCGCTCCGAGGGCGTTCTCTAGACAATTTTTATTCTTTTTGTTTTAATGGAGAAAAATGTATTATATTTACATAAATAGTGTCGTTTGTAAAAGCACGCTCATTAAACAAATTAAAACAAATGTGACACTGCAGAGCGTGGCAGGATTAAGAGGGGTAAAATAGAGCGGCCAGGTTTGTCAGCTCATTAAAAACATGTAAAACATTACAAACTAGGTTAAGGCAGAAACGTGCTTTGTTTTCATCACGCTATATTTGCCACAACATTGAGGTGATGCTTTCTTTTAGGTACGGGCAAAGTAAACATTCAGGTGTATCTAGAGCTCCAATTAGCTCGCAAGCATTTAAAAATGTCAAAACTTTTACATGCACCAAATGTTTTGTTTTTGCCATACCCAGGAAAAACTCGGTGTCGAGGAAGGCCCGTCGTTTCTTCGAGCTGCAGGGCTTGTGTCGCGCTTAGAAGATCTGGGTGAGGTTGAGGCGTTTATTATTGTCCATGAGTACATACTCAATCACTACAATAAATACTACATCAAAGTGTTTCGATCGCAAGGACTGTTGTCTCCGTGGAATGGTCTGCGTTCCTAATTCTGAGAAATGTATCCTAATGTAAAAATTATACGAATTCCGGGTGTATCACGATCAAGTTTACACATGAATTTTATATTAGTATGTTACTAATCGCAGTACAAATAATTTAGAGTTTTCCACAAAGGGATGTCTCAAGGTTTATTTCGCTTATAAGTACAGGTCCTTTATTATTGATATTATAGTTCCAAAAAACTTGTAATTTTGATTGTTTTGCTAAGTTTATTATTGTGCAGCTGCGATTATTGTGTTTTGCCTGAGGTTTCGAGGGAAATCCAAATTTAATATCACAAAAAACTTTAAAACTCTCAGATATAAATGCTTGCTTCTACCATCTGCACAGAGAGACAAATAATAAAATTGATTTAAAATTTGTATCGCGCACATCGAAAAGGTAGATATTTATTTGCAAAAGTTTCCGTACTTACAAAAAACGTACAATTTGGCCAACCCAAAAAGGTATTATTTTTGCACGATAGAGGTTCAGTTGGTGCTTGCGTCCACGCGACTTTAAATTTCATATTGAGGCAGACAGCTATGAGTCTATTTTCGCCGTGCTCGTGTAAATTCCTTCGTGAAAAAAAATGTGTGCAATTTTTCTCATCGCAAGGGAATAACAAGATTTCACCTTTGTTACTAGGGTCGTACTCGAAAAGAAATAAATATATATAAAAATTAAGTGTAATGCTTTCAGTGACACTAATCACTTTCTTCCTAATTGAGCGATGGCTAACCTTACAAAATTTGAGACCCAAACCTGTGTTCTCGAAAAGGAGTGTAAAGTGACGATTTCAAAGCAACCATGAGAGTTGAAAAAAAGACCATTGGCTTCTTCGAGTTTGCAGCACACGAGGACAGTGGAGTTGATATTCTACGATATTTATGTCACCATATAAAATGAACTTCGTATTGCAATTTTACGAGCGGTTAAACCAGGCGAAAGAGGAAAAGTACAACGAGAATGAAATTATACTTTATTCTGGTCTACTTTATGTAGCACCAATCTTTTCTGGTTTTAAAATGATATCAATTTTTTGGAAATGTAAATAGAATGTTTTTTAACTGTAAATACGACTCTCTTTGAGTCTGTATAGGAGCAAAGAAATAAAATGATACATTACTAATACGTCAGCATTATTACATATATGACAGAAAAAGCTGACGGCGTCCGTCTGTGGACAAAACAGCGCAAAGTGAAGTGCGCTGTGTAGAGGAGGAGAGCATTGGAGGGCGAAGTCGAGAGGGAAGCGATATCAAGGAACGGAATCCTACGCGTGCATGGCGCAGCTAGGCTGCAAGGAGGCGACGTCACGGGGCGGAACCCAATGCGCGCGCGGACGCTGGGGCGAGTCTGAACTAGCAGGAGTGCAGAGAGCGCATTCCTTGTTTTGTGCTACAATATAGAGTTTAAACCAAGTACTAGCGCTGGTTCAAGCTAGAGTAATTGGTGGATCCTAAAAGAATGCTTTAGCATGACCCTCGGGAGACGCCACACAGGTTCCGTTCTAGAAAACGCTAACACTGACCCCGTATCGAAATAAAAAATATGCATAAACATTATAGGAAAAAAGAGAGAGCCGAAAGAGAAAGCGCAGCAGAAAAAAAAGGGCAGCGTTAGCGTGTCCCAAAGGGGTACTTGTTTGGCGTTGCCCAAGGATCATCCTAGAGCAATCCACAATATATCAGTGGATCTTCTTCTAACTTTTAATTCAAGATGCATTGATCACTTCGCTTGCACTTTATGTTGATATTTTATGTGTGCAAAAAGTTACTCATCAAGCGTTACTGCAATGTAATGGCCGTCTTTTGGTCATTATTGTTCCCTTTGTGGTTTTGTACGTAACTCCCTTTCCATGGAGATATGCGACAATGCTGCGTGCTTGCTGAAAGTGTCGAACAATATAGGCATACAATATATAAAACGTAATAAACCGTCGTGCTTGTTTAGAGCATGTACCAGTAATTAAGGGCGTTCTTTTCAAACCTCACTATAAAAATTCAAGTTTAAGTTCCGTCATTTTAACCCCTTAGCAAATTTAAATATAATGAGGATTATGGGGACCGCAGTCACAAAATAAAATAGATGGAGCGTTGTCATGATACTAAAAGCAGCTAACATGCAGGTATCAAGCTATTTTAGTATCGTTATTAATGATCTGACTTAGAAACGCACTGTAACTGACCAATTGTTTACTTTGGCGACTGAGTAATATTTCAAGCTATTTGTTACCTAAGTAGTACGCGTAACGTGTGTTCTCAGAATCATGCGCACAGAGCAAATGCCTTCACTTTTTTTACATCTAAATTATTTTAGTTGAATCACGTATAGGATGCTGTCTGCTTCATTTTATACCCGCTCACTAGCACCAGCTGCACCACTAGCGTCTAATATACTAACTCTATAGACCAACTATGACGACGAGTAAACACCTCGATATGTAGCATTAGGCATTTATATCAGCCTGCGACATTTGTTCCAGCGACGTAAAATTTCACAAGAATTTAAAAGAAAGTCATCGCTAGTGTAGCTACGTTCGCCACTGCAGATGTTTTAAAAGAAAATTTTTCAAAATCAGAGACCACATCCATACGGATATTTTCATTTCGACTGGATTTTCCACAGAATCAATGTATTACATGCAGTCATAGTTTCAAAAAAAAAAATGTCATTTATTTCTTCAAATCCAGGATTCATGCCGAATAGATCATAATCATCATGACTACTGGGGAAATGTTGGTGTTACAAATATTAACTTGCTGCAAAGCACACGCTTTTTTCGAATAAAAGAGAACTAGTATCCTAGTACGGTCTGAGGAAAAATATAATTCGAAAATGCGGAAATTTGTGTTTTTTTTTTTTTTTATAAAATATCAAATTTACAACTGCCTTTCACAGTCAGCGCTTTTTTTAGTTGTCTACATTAAATATATGTTTTACATTATTAAAACATCAATAAAAAGATAACCGCAATGCTGGAGGATTCATAATCTTTCTCCCTCTAAATTTCTTAAATATCGGTACGTAATATTTTATGTGCCGCTCCAAAACGGAGTTCACTGACTGCTTTATTTTCGTTGTTTTATGTATTAACTAAATAAGACAGTTAAAAACAAAATGACAGGAATATACTTTTTATTACAATTACGTTTGCAAAATAAATTCTTAAATATTTCGTGAACGATTAGAAGACAAAAACTGTCGAGTGTGCATATGCTTTAAAAATTTATTTTACAAGAGTCCAAATATATCGTTATCGTAAAACAAACTTGATTCGTTCACTCTCACTTGCATCGCCACATCGTTTCTGGAGAGGCATATATTCCATTTCATTTGCAATGTTGCTGCAAAACTTATCAGGACGTTGCAGGTACTGCAACGTCCTGATAAGAGTTCACCACTAATACCAATATTCTACCATTACATGCACTTCCTGATTCATATTATGACATCTGAAATGTTTAGGTCACACGGTTCGAGACTATGGCGACGTCAAAGTTGAAGGCAATACCAACGTCACTTCAGCAAATGCCATGAAAAGTGATTGTGTTGGACAGACTAGCAAAAATGTGAGTTTTTCTTTTCATTTCGTTCATATACTTTTCTTACATTTTTCTGTGATTTTTTCATTAGTGTACCGTTCACAATAATTATTAGGCATGTGATCCGTATACTAAAGCCAAATTGTGATGTTTGAAGTTCATCGCTCACTCGCTATATATTTCCTCGCCCATAGTGGTAGTAGTGCCAAATAAATAAACATATATATATACAGCCAAAAACAAAAGACATCGACATCGACATCGACATCGACGGACAGACGGACGGACGGACGGATGAATGGATGGATGGATAGACATGTTGGTGTCAATCTATCTATCATGTCATGGTCACGAAGTCGCCACTTTGACCTGACGACTTCGTGACGTCACGTGACGTCAATTTCTCCGATAAATTTAGCGGGGAAATTTTTCCGCTAAATTTGACGGCGAATTTTTTTTTCTAAGTTTAGCTTGAGAAATGGACGCCCCGTGACCTCAACACCAATGCAGTTTCCCGTTAAATTTAGCGGGGAAAATGACGCCACGACTTTGTGTCAAATCACCCATGAGCACATTCAGCGGCAGAACAAGAAGAGGAAGAAAGGAGGAGGATGAGGGAAGCACACCGCCCTCTCCTTGTCGTCGTTCTCAGCCGCTTGCGTGCCTAGTTTCCTTTCTTTTCGCCGGTTGGAGGTCCCGTCGCCCGTGTCTAGTTTCCTCCGGCTCATCGGGGCAGTGATAGTCTTCGTCATGTGTGTGCGTACCGTTCGTCACGATGATCACCGATAAAGAAACTAAATGTGTTCGCACATTTGTTGAAAATTCGCTCACGTATGTGTCGTGTGCTAATCATCTTCGCTAATCATCTACCTTCACAGAGTGGAATAGCTCATAATTTGTTTATGTTTAACTTCTGTTCCAGTCTCAGGTTAATTCAACATCTTTACTAATCACGATCTCACCAGCGCCCTTTTACATTTACCCTATTAGTTTGTTTTTTCTGCCATAGTGTACTTTTGAATTGTAAATATTTAATGGTGTTAAGTATTCTTTAACACATAAGAACCGAACTAACTAAATCTCGTCCTCTTGTTCCAGGCAAAGGATGCCGTCGCCGAAGTCCTAAGCTCAGGCTTGATAAGTGTAAACCTTGGTGGTGACCACACTATGCCCATTGGAACTGTTAGTGCTCATGCGGTAGCCATGAATTCTGACATCTCTCTTCTCTGGGTTGACGCCCATAGCGACATTAATACACCTCTTTCTACCACAAGTGGTAAGACATATATCATTATAGTGGCCACTACTGAATTTATAAAGAGTGTCCATCAATTTAAAAAAAAAAAATAATGTATCTGTTTATTTACTACATCGCCTGTTTTTCACATACGGGATTAACAAATACACGCGGTTCAAATACCGCACAGTCATTCACGTATCTCGCGTTTGAGTTCCATGGTCACGTGGAGCAAGCTACCGCCCAATATAAAAAAAAACCATCCGTGCCATATGTTTCCCATAAGGAGTTGAGGGATGATAATGACCGCACGGTGCCCCCAGCGTGGTTTGTCTCAAAGCATGCAACACCCAAAATGTAATATGCAAAGAAACGTAAATATTTATTTTTTAGTTATTAACTGCATGTCCGAAAATAAACTTTTTTTCTTGCGTCGGTTAGCCTCCTTCACTTATGTATGTGGCAACAACTGCACAGTTTTATATTATTTTCTTGAATTAAAATGTATACATTTATTGGACCTTACTGGTCATCAAGTTTTCATTTGGGCAAAAAAATAGATAGCATACAGAGGAAAAGTTGTGTTTCGATATCTGTTGCCGAACGAGGAGCCATTGTTTTTATTTTCGTTTTTGTTGCGCCATAAAATATTCAGATTGTTCATATATATAAGATTGCTGAGTACTGATCTGATTCAAATCCAAGCTTTATGAAAGGCATGGAGGTCATTCAGTGTGAATCCAATAAAGTTCGCCGTTTAATTAAAAGGTGTCAGAGTCATCTTAAGATGGAAAGTTATTGCGTTGGGAAAAAGTAATAATAACAGTAGTCATAATAACAATAATAATGTTTATTTTCACCTACCCCCCCAAAAAAGCAGGTCTTCTCAATGCCGCACAGAGTCAGTCAGGAGAAAATCAAACGTAAAAGAAAATTATTTTCAAACCCCAAAATAAACGCTTTTATGGGACAACTTGCATTTTATACGTTATAGAATCATTTAGATAGTGGCCCAGCAAACATAATGACCCCGACTTCCCGACTCTAAAAGTACCAAAATGCTGTCAATAGAATTTACCATAAAACTATATGAGGTGTTCTAACCCTTAGCGCCCTAGGTTCTTGCTGATCCCATTACATCCAATGTTTTCGGTACCAGGGCACATACATGGAATGCCTGTTGCATTTCTCCTTCACGAAATGGAGCCGTTTCTGACAAAGCCGGAAGGTATGGAATGGATTCAACCCTGGTGAGCACTTACTTTAATTGTTTACTTATATATTTTGGTATTTTTTTTGGAATACATTAAATCTTATTTTTATTAAAAGATTAATAATACAATTTTTCAGTAAACATTGCTTAAGTGACAAAATCATCCGCCTCGTTCCTAAAGAATACGTTTAAAGGTTTTCAATTCAAGCAGTAAATAAAATGGCATGATATGGCAAGTAAGCGTTGAAGATACAGATACTCAACACTTTTGTGTCAAGCCGCCCCTCCTTTAGACGGTCGAGTATGTTGAGACCAACATCACTTATATTACACGACGATAAAACTAAGTATAGTTAGGCTTTTTTTAAGTTTTCGAAATTTTCACATATAATTTTTTTTATAAACATGCCAGTAGGGTCATTTGATAACTGCGGGCACTAGACATGGAGCTACAGAAAAGAATGCGCTTAAAAGATATCAGTTTGATTATATCTGGAAGCTAAGCTTAAGACCGTCAGTAAGGTATTTTAAGCGAATTCGTAAGTACTATAATGTAACTATATACTTCAAAAACGTTTATCTATGATTCCATGAGAAGATATTCTAAAAAAACACTTTAATTCCTGAAAGCATACCAACTTACGCAAGATTTCTGTTTCAGTGTTCACAAGGACAATTTTGCGTACATTGCCTTGAGAGCTATCGACCCTTACGAAAGGTAACCTAAGTTTTTATATATTACATTTTTCGCTATGATAACCAGGAGCTTTAAAGTAAGCTGATAAGGTTCATAAAAACGAACGAGTCAAAGTTGAAATCTAGCGTGTTTCTGTCTTGTTAATTTGAATAACACAAGCATTTGATACGAATGTGTCAATAGACGCGAGAAAACCCAAAAAAATGACCAATGGGTGTGACGTCATACCCAGAGTTTTCAACTCCCTTGCACTCGCAACTTGTCAAAGAACACAGGCGGCACTTTCCATTGCTCAGGTAGGGCATGCCGAAGGTACGGAAATGTTCAGATCTCTGCATAATACGTCACAATTCTCTCCTCCCGTCGAATACTCAGGGAAGGAGGGGCTTTAGCACAATTTTTAATATGCTGGTGAGGCTACTTGGTGCATCAATCTTAAATATAATTCCTATAAATTCGTGATACTAAAAGCCAATTAAAGACTATTCAAGTGTTATTTTTAGAAAGCAAGTCTTAGGTGCCCGTTTCCGGCTTGACCGGCTTCGGCGTCGCCGTCGCGTCGGCGTAACCGTGAGGTCACGTGACCCCACCCTTGAGGTCACGTGACCCCCAGGTCACGTGACGCCCCAAGATTACGTGATCCCCCCCTCCACGCGACCCCTTCCCAGGTCACGTGACCCCCTGAGGTTTCGTAACCCCCCCCCCCCCCCGAGCACACGAGACCCTCAGTACCCTTCCCTCCTCCGAAAAAGCGTTCCAGTTTTTTTTTCGGGGGGGGGGGGGGGGGGGGAACGCAGTGTTTGGCGAGTTCGAAACACCTTATCTTCTTCCGGTCATCTACATTGCTAGATTAATTGATAAGAACACGAGTAAAAACACAAAGCAGGAAGCGTGAAAATAGCTCCATGAAGGAGGCAAGATCTTTAGTGTTGTGAACGCCATTCAGGATGCGTCCAGCTGTCTATGGGTCACTCAAAATAAAGAAATAAGTGAAAATAAAAATAATAATCCTCTCCTTGCGTTTTAGAGCGCAGCTCTTAGGCGCCCGTTTCCGGCTTGAGTGGCGTCGCCGTCGCCGTCGGCGTCGGCGTAACCGCGCGTTGCATTATGGGCAAATTTCCCCGCTAAATCTAGCGGAAAAATTTTCATGCTAATTCTGGCGAAAAAATTTTCCCACTAAATTTCACGAAAAATTTCCCCGCAAAATTCAGCGGAAAATTTTCCCCGCTAAATTTAGGAAAAAAAATCCCCGCTAAATATGGCGGAAAAACTTCCCTGCTAAATCTAACGGAAAAATTTACCCGCTATATTTAACGAAAAAATTTCCCAGCTAAATATCGCGGAAAAATATTCCCGCTAAATCTCGAGAAAAAATTTCCCCGCTAAGTTTAGCGGAAAATTTCCCTACTAAATCTAGCGGAAAATTTTCTCGCTAAGTCTCGCGGAAAAATTTCCCCGCTAAATGTTGCGGAAAAATTTCCCCGCTAAATCTAGCGAAAAAATTTCCCCGCTATATATAGCGGAAAATTTTCCCCGCTAAATATAGCGGAAAAATTTCCCCGCTAAATCTAGCGGAAAAATATCCCCGCTAATTCTACCGTAAAAATTTCCCCGCTAAATCTAGCGGAAGAATTTCCTCACTAACTGTAGCGCAAAAATTTCTCTTGGGGGGCACGTTACCTGGGAAGTCAGGTGACCCCCCGAGGTCACGTGACACCCCCCAAGTCACGTGACCCTCCTTCGCGTGACCCCCCCGCGTTAACCCCCTTCCCCCGAGGTCACCCCTCCTCCAGATCACGTGACCCTTCCACCCCGCCCCCCCCCCCCCCCCCCCCCGAGGACATGTGACCCTTCCCTCCTCCTCCTCAATAGCTGTGCTGTAATTCGGTTTCTACAGGAAGTTGTATTTTTATGCTCAGTTATTAAAAAAAAATGAAATAATAAAAGCATGAATTAAAGAACATATATAGTGTACGTTTGTGGTAATGTTTCCACGAAATAATGTTTTTGTTGCAAAACATTATACCGCTATATGCAATTTAGATGGAGGTCACGGCTCACTCTAGGCCCTGCCCATTACCACTGAATTGGCTTGGCTGCTCGGCCGAACACGCTCAGAAGACTAGTGTTCCCAATAATAATAGTTGGGGTTTTGTGGATATTTATACAGCATGTAGTTGGTGAGCCATTTCAATTTTGCGACAAGTCCCTCGCTGTAGATGAGAAATTTAGCCAGTGCACTTCAACCGCCAGCCTGGGGTCTTTAACGTGCACCACGCAGTAGTGCTTCACGACCGCACGCCGGTACGGGGACTGAACTCAGAGTCCGCGGGTTCTGCGGCGCGAGCTTTCGCTCCACTGTTCCGATCTGGTATGCGCTAGCCCACACGGCCACCAATCCCCCACCCCTAGTGTCTCCTTTTCGCGACATTTGGTGCATCTGGTCTGGCGACTGACACCTCTTGCTAGTCGTGCGAGCAGACGCGCGGCAGCCAACATCATTGCCTGGTATTCCACCACCATCTATAATCGTCTGTAATGCCCAATGGACGAGTACATGAAAGAATATTACCTAAACCACCTCTCCGACTGGTGTGTTTAGCGTCCTATCTCACCCATACATCAAAAGTGGTCCCAAAGTTGCAACAAAGGACGTCACAGAAGCCGAAGTGTCATGTTATCAGAGGTCGGAATCTTGGCGGTTGGTCGAAGAAATGATGGCGAAAATCATGAGCGAACGCGAGTGTCGTAGCCGTCGCGGTGTCCCAACTTCTAGCTGCCGAAACTCCCGTGGAAGGACACGCTGGAGAGCCATCTGCAGCATGACAGGCGTCTGCCACATGCACCACCACTGCTGGGACACCGCCACGATCGCAACCGGCGACAGCATGAAAATTTTGTAACGTCATCAGGCAGAAATAAAAAAAAAAAATCACTTTTTTCGACGCATTAAACATGCCAGTATGAGACTCCTTCCAGTCACAGTAACGAAAGCTGCGCATCGGCGTCCTTTTTCGCTTCCGTTCGTCTGCTATTCCACACCGTGTTAAAACTTCTGCAGCGTGCACAAGACGCGACCACGAAAACGGCGTTGTAGCGTTTCATCATGCACATCCATAGCCTCCTATATACTGACAAAGCCTGGCAGATCACCACGAGAAGTTCCCGCCGAAATGGAAAAGGTGGAGCGACAGACTACGAATGAGAGGAGGGCCACGTGACTGGCGTTGTGCTGCGGCGAGACGCCGAAACCCACTTTTACCCAGCGAACAGGTGTGCTTCGGGTAATCGCCGCTGCAAAAGCTCTGCGCTGACGTCCAGGTTTCGTGATAAAGGGCTCCTTGATGCTCTCTGCTACTAGATTATAGCGCTCCAAATCTACATCTGGGCACTCTAGGGCTACGTCGTCTAACTGCCAGGCTTTGTGAGTCTATACGAGGCTGTGGCACAAGCTATGGTTCAGTGCACGCGTCTGTAGGCGTCTGTCAATATGCCATAGAAAGCGTCGGAGAGGGAAAAGAAAAAAAAGGAAGAGAAGTATGCTGTTTTCTTAGCTTTCCCGTTCTTTGTATAGACGATTGCAAGCTGGGCGACTGGCCGCCGCCATGTCTCTGCTCGAGCAGGCACGCCCGTGCGATTACGAGCTTGCCAAAGCTACGTTCACCCGCGCGTTGCACGCGCTTGCACGCATGGGGCACCACTTGTGGCGCCATGCTTGCAATTGTCTATTTGCTTTGCATGGCACCAGCGACCAGGTTGAGTGAGCGTTATGACGCAAAATTAAAACGCAACCCAAAACTTTACGCTTTGGCAGGCCAGGTAAACTGCAAAACATAAGAGATACTCGCCTTTCGAAGCGAAATGTCGAGAACACACCTGGACATACTTGATGTGAGCCAAACGCCCGATTGCCTTCAGCTGAAAGAGCTGAAATGCTCGCAATGTCTTACCTGTGTAGGCGTCTTCTCGATATTGAAACCATGGCCATAATTACGACGGTTGTAAAATTCAAAGAGCAGCGGGGACGCTTTAACGGGAATCAACAATTTTATACAACAACACACTCAAACGAACAAATTAAGCCAGATCGAGCAACGTAGTTTACAAGAGACGCTAGGCTTAGGTCAGTGCCGCTACAAAAACAAGCACCCGCACAGTGTTTCTGAAGGCGCGTGCTTGCAACACTTGAGTATTGCAAACTACGTCGGTCCCGAGCAGGTCTTCCTCTAAACACCTCGTGAGCGCAAAACGACTCGCACTCATAAAAACAGACGAGCTCGGCAAGCTGCGGTCGTTAAGCGCTCATCAGAGGCCGACGGCTATGTTTCTCATTGTTTCACACCAATGCCGAAAAGACGAGCTAGGGATACTTTTCAAAACAGTAATGACTCTATCTAGATTATTTGTTTTTTAAACATAAAATATTGTCTGTAGAAATACTATTACGGCCCATAAACCAATGTCAGCTGAGAAATGAAGCGCAGGTTACCGCGTTCCTGGGCTGGGCCTAGGCGGGTTCCCTCCACCTAAATTGTGTCTATCAACATAAATCTTGCGCAAGATCTTCTTTTTTTTCAAGAAAAAGCAAATGAAAAAAATATGTCCCCCACATCAGATCTTTATATGTGCTTTTCTAATTGAGTGTTCAATTTAAGCTTAAAATTTTGGTTTATAAATAAATAAACAATATTCGCTTCTATCGTGTGAAGCCCTAAGGACCCGTTACAATTCTTGTAGGCTTCCGCCACTATCGGAGGAAGTATTTTGACCATGTATATTTTTATCTGTTCGCTCCAAAACGCGTTTATAGTTCGTAACTATCGACATCGTACCCATTCTTCCAACAGAGCGGCATAAAACTGCATGCTTAATATATGCACCGCAGATATGCCCTTCTTTACAAGCACATATACCAGTCCGGCAAAGCCAGTGAAACGTATCCTAAATCTTTCCATATAGTCTTGAACTTTGATACACTCGAAAAGCTAATATAAAAAGAACAATATCCGAGCGCACGTTGAACAATATCTTTATATTTTGTTTTCTCTGCAGCCTTTCTAAGCTAGGTAAAACAGGGATCAAAGTTTTGCTCATACGAATTGCAAGTTATATGTGACTACTTTTGCAGATATTTCATGGATAAGCTCAGAATTACACTTTACAGTATGGATGACGTCGACCGCATTGGCATCACCGAAGTTATACGACTCGCTCTCAGACAAATCAACCCGAGGTATGCATACGAGGAGCTCTCTTTTACACTATATTTGAGTTGGCCTTTAATCTAAAATAGTTCAATATTTACGAATTTGATGCATGCTCGCTTATGAGGCTTTCCGTTTTAATGACGGTCACAGATCTAGTGATTCTTGTAGGCTACCTTTACGGAGCTTACAATACTTGCCAACGTAGTTAGTGGAACTGTGGCACTTCACCCCCAATATACTTTGCGACTCAGTGGCTAAGTTCACGTGCATTATGCATTACAAGATTAAATAACTAACCGCTTATATCATGGACGTTGTGACGAGTCCGCACTGCAACTAATAGGATTGCGGCACTTGTTAATAATAGTGCCTAAAAACAAATCAGAAAGCAATATTTGTGAATAGAGTAAGTTAAGCCCTTCCAATTATTAAGTTGTCAATGACAATAACTCGTTGAAAAAACAAAACAATAAAAAGATCAGTGCGCAGTATAGTAAATAATGCAAGGTTCGAGCGGGCTCCATAACTTGATTAGTAATGTTAATGTTGTACAAATATTGTACATACCAAGGCATCTGGACCCTGTTTAACCTGAGACAGCAATAAAGTTGGTAGGCCTCTTATTCTAGAGAACACTTTTTTTGCCACCTGCCTTTCTAATTTAGGATGAATTATACTCATCTCTGAAGCGATATTTGCAACAGTAACGACTATCCTCTGCCTTCACAGTTTTGCCCTCTACCGATTTGTGTCCTTATACCACGAATAAAGGAAATATCTCACTCGCAAAAGCATTTGTGTTAATGCGCACAAATACGTGACGTTTATTTTACAGAGGCACCAGGTCACTACACGTCAGTTTCGACATAGACTCAATCGACATGCTGATTGTTCCAAGCACTGGAACTCCCGGTAACGTGAATCCGGTTTGGATTTATTTATTCCATGATATAGAAATAGACAAATCTTGCAATGAGTTTATCGTAGATTTTTTGATCATTTAATGTGCTGCAACGCACGATAACACTATTCTGTGACTTGTGATTTTGGCTTTTATTTTCCGGTTAGGATATTTGAGAATTAAAAACTAATTATGCATAATAAATTAGAGTTCTTATCCCTCAATTACATTCGCCATTTAGTCGTGTCTGTTTTACATGGATGCGGCAATAAGAGATATCTGAAAACAAAAATAAACTTCAAAAGTATAAACACCGGTTCAATACTGCATTCAATTTTGATTCAGTTTGAATATAGAAAATGGCAGTCTAGTTGCGTGAGGTATTCAACTCAATATTAGCGAAAATTGCCGTTACCATTTGAAACTCAATGGTATGTTCCTCCGCGGCACATGCCTCTCCAGTACGTGCCGCAGTCGCACCTAACGTAAAATCTCAGAAATACACTAATATTATTAGAAAAATAGTCATTCATATTTAGGTGTCTTGGTTGTCCCATCAATCTTTAGGTTTATAATAACGATTATTTATTGTTTTATTGATGTAAATAACACGAATTGTGGCACCAAAAAGATACTACGAAAGTCAAATGTGAGTGATACGGCTTACCCAACTTATGAAAAATAAAGCAAAACGCTTTGATATGCGTTAAGAGGAAATTCAATGTGTGAACTTAGATTTGAGTAGCGAAGTGTAAGTTTTTGAGGCAACATTTCTCAAGTAAAGTGTATAATATTAAAACTGATAATTGATGTACATATTGACTATCATATGCATAAATATTACGCATCAATTAAACATCTTCATGGATGAAGGTTTTAAAGTTTTAAAACCCTGTTTGTTCCAGCCACATGAAGCAAAGTCTTATATACCGGTGCGGTGCTAGAAATCGTATAAATTTTGTCAAGTTGAATTTTAATTTCAGTAAATTAGTAAAAAAATCACGGAGTTCATTAGGCCCCTTCCTGCTTACAGCTGTCACTTTCTGTGTCCAGTCTTAGTGACGAACTCGGCCTTGTATTTAATGATTTGCGAGTAATAATAGAAGCTACGGCCCACCAAATGCCTTTTAAAAAACACAGTCATTTCTTGTGTTCTTACTGTTTTGTATAGGCGTGGGCAAATCGATAGCACTAAATATATTAAGAAAATTATTAAATTATCTGATGTCACTTTTTTTACAGTAATAGGCGGGCTTTCTATGCGCGAGGCGCTGGTAATAGCCGAAGAGGTGCACAGATCCGGTAATCCTTCGCTTCATTAATTCCTAACCTTCCATTTCGTACCTTATGCAAAAATACTATATACTTCGTTACACCTGAAGTCTGGACGCTGCAGGCGCTACGAGACGATAGAGCAGATCATATTGAGTCATAAGCGGAAGCTCGTGGTGCTCGTTATATTGTTATACATGATGTATCATTGCTGGACCAATGATGTGCACGAAAGGACCAGTAACTTGCGATTTTATAATGTGTGATTGGGACTGCGTGTGTTCGTGTCTTCGAATGCGGTCGCACCTGTTCCACACGTAAGTTTGTAGATAATAATGACAAATTAAACAACGTGGCCGTCAAATATATTATTGGGCTTTCCTAGTTGTGATTAACATCGACAGGGCTTGCACTTATTCCGCTGTCAATTTCTAAACGAAGTCACTCCAATTTTATGCGCCTGCGTGATTCAAATTTTATCAAAGCGGATTCTACTTTGAGTTCTGAGAGCGTCAATTTACATTACGTACTCAAGGTGAAAGCAGATCAGGAAATAGACACGCGTGCAGCAACAGGAAAAAATATCTAAGCGTCGGTTTTTAAGCGCTAGGCCTTCGTAAGACAGTTGGGAGCGCCTGCTCTCCAGACAACCAATAATGGGCAAAGTTCATCTCAAAAAGAACTAATGCTGCTCGTTTCTGACACCAGGCAAAGTTTTACCTGGGATCTGATTTTGGCAAGAGCGTTCTCGACTGCAGATCAACCTTGACGCCGAGCTTTTAATCAACCAATGAGGCAGTTTTGACCAGTTTGCGAGTTACAATGAGGCAATATATCGGCAAAAACATCTCTCCAGCATGCAAATAGCGAGAAAGGTCTCGCAGAATTTGATGTGCTCGTCCGTAGTACTACATCATCAACCGGCCAATTTCAGCTGATGTACGGCAGCATAACAACACGAGATTTGCAAAACAAAGAGCGGGTTGTCAATGGCTTCGCACGTGAAATAGTAGACGGTCACAACCCTAGCCAGCTTTCGATCTCGATTTTTAGCGGCGCTCGATTCGTTCCAGGTAAGTAACATTTTTCCGGCCTGTTAGGAGAACATCTACGGCATTTTCATGTTTTGATTTACTCTGCGAATGGCGCTTCGTAGCAGACAACAGCGTTCTTCTATCGCGTTAGCAGGCAAAGCCTCTGTGAACCTTATCTTCATTTGCTCCGCGCGAGGAAAATTAAATTTCGCTCTCGTTCTTGCAGTTACCGAAATCGAACTTCTGAAGACCTGGTTCAGCCCTTTTAAATGTTGCGCATGGCTTCGTCTCTGTTTGTGTTAAGGGAACCTTTAACCTTCCCGCGTAATTGCATATCCAGGCAACAGACAGGAGAAGCACGCAGCTTTGGTCAAATTTCGCCATCCTAAATGCCTAACTTGCCAGTAGTAAGACTTTGCCCCAAGTTCTTCATTAGTAAGAAAATACTTTTATCTTGCTTTTTTATAACTTTTTCCTTCCACATTACTGCCAAAGTGCCAAATATAAGCTAAAATTGTCACGTAGTAACCAATCAGCCAGCATACCCCCCCCCCCCCCCCCAATACCAGGCAGTGAATCGCAATGGTGAATTCCGAATTCCGCGCTCGTAGAATTTGAGGGCTCCAAAAGCACCCCCTTTGCAGTGAGCATATTACGTTGGCAGATCAGGCTTAAGTTAGTCATCCTCCCCTTGTAGATTAGTGGCAGCTTCCACACCGAGAAGTGCCTCCAAACTCGCCGAACTTGACTCGTAGGATTTCATGGAGCTCGCCTGAAGTTGACAAAAACGCGCTACGGAATTCCTTGAACGCGGCGGTGCGGTGTGTACGTGCGGCCGGACCACACTGGGCCAGACGGCCGGGCCGTCCGGTTGGACCTGTACGGATATGCCGGTTGTTTACGCGGGATTGTGACGGCTCGAACGATTCTACTTTGCGTAGATCAGGATTGCAAAGCCGGGGCTGGTGCGTGGCAAATCGTGAGCGTTGACATCTGTGATCGTGGAAGGTAGAACGAGAAAAAGAAGGGCAGAAAATCAGAAGATGGGACACGCAAGGTTAGGAGTGCTTATTTCGTCGCCACCCGATTGTTGACCTTTTTGCACTGCATGACGCCGGCGCTTTCTCGTGCTATCAAGCAAGAACAGATTGGGCAACGACCGTGCAAGTGATGGTTTGTTACCTCTTTGCATTTATTAAAGTCTTAGAAGCAATCTAAACTTTACCGATGGCGATCGCTGTGCGTTTCACGCTGCTTCTAGGCGGCCGAAAGATATGTGACGGTGGCGAACGCGGACGTCTCTCTCGTTATTTGTGGCATGGGCTCAATGGTACTAATATTATTGTTTGTCCTTTGTCGCGTGTTATTTCTAGAAGCCGGATATTTAGTCGCTAAAAAAGTCACTTTTTGGCGCCTATAAACGGCACTAAAAATTCGTAATAGGCATTTATAGGCAAAATCATTTTTATTCACAGGGTGCTTTTGAAAGCATTTAGGGCCTCTGTGATTCAAAGAAATGCAGAATGAAGTAGTAAAATGAGGAATTACAATTGAATTTGTCAAGCGTTCGAAATAAGAGTCGACTCAAGCCTACAGCGGTACTAAGATGTACTATGGTGTACATAGTATTCAAAATAGAAACAATATAAAAAAATAAAAACAATTGAAAACAAGCACCATCTCAAGATTTTCAGGTCCAAACTTCTGTCTTTTGTCGCTCAGAACAACTTTGTGCGCAGAAAAAGAGCGTTCCAGGACAACTGATCTGAGAGGGGCGTATTTATACTTAGAAATATTTAATGCTTTCACACCCTCTGGTACCCTGGAGTGTTCCCCGGTGAGGACCTTCGAAACTTCTTTGAGTACAAAAAACCCACAATTTTGCTCAAGACGAACTGAAGCTTTGAACGAACTTGTACAGCAGCGAGACCTGCGGGGACGGCGTCGAATCGTTCTTGAACGTTTGAGATGAGCTCAATGTTCCGAGGCAGAGTTTTGCCAGCGCTTTCGAGGCTCTTAGTTGTGCCCGCCAGAAACGTGAACTTGGAGCACAAATACGCCAGGTCACCTTCAAGAGTTTCCTCGCGCAGGCCATCTTGAGCCGTTCTGACTGCTAATCTATCGTCTGCTTAAAATATGTTAATGAACAACTTCAGACTAACAGAGGTAGTACTACAGCACGGCTTTAAGCCGCGTTTTCCATCTCGTCACGATGGGTTTTGATGGAAGAGGCACCCCTGAAAGCTGTTCCTTAAATGCACAACCACGAGACGGTAACTTAAGGAACACTGCCTTCACAGCAGCAACGAGATCGTTTGCATGCTTGAAGTGTTTTCTTAGCTCTCCGCAAATGCGGTGAACGCTATTAGTGAGAAATGTGACGTGCAACATCCGCGGGTAGAAAGCCTTCGGGAGGAGGGCAGCTTTGTGCATATAAGCCGCCGCATCCGTGCGATGTAGCAGCACCCTGCTGTCTTCCAACCCATTAGGGTATAGCACCTTCAAGGACGGGCTGACCAAATACGTCACGGTTTCCCAATTTGTTCTGTCTAGCGTCTTGGAAGACACAAGAAAAGGCGTTGTTCTCTCGTCTGCTACAAGCTTCCAAACTACACTCTTAGAAAAAAGGGTATGGATAGTCCTCCCTTAGGGGAGGAACGGTCTTGTAACCTATGTTCCTTTAGAAAGGGAGAAACGTTCGTCCCTGAAGCAGGGGAGCAACGTTCCTCCGTCGCTTGCATCTCAATATGGCGGCCCCGAATCGAGCAAATCGAGCCCAATAAGGCTTAACCAGGACGCTACGTCTCTTGTACGGGACGAGAGCAGCAGCAAATAAAAGCGTCACACGAGCTTTCCGCAAACTGCGTTTATTTCCGAAGCCAGATTCCCCCCACAGGTACAGAAACTGGCGTTTCGAAAGCAGTTACTCAGTCTTCTCGTCGACAGCACTGCGATGTTAAACGGAGACAACCGATACCCAGTTACTTCGCGCACTTTGAGTCTTACCTTTGGTGTTCCTCGAGTCACAATTCCATCGTCAACCGCACATCACAGAGAAGGGCAAACTCAATCCGCGAAACCAAAAGCCGCTCTCGAAAGAACAAACTGGAAGCCGTTGTTTATCGCGTAGCGTGAAAGGTTAAATCGCTAGCCACCAGATGCCGGGGTCAAGCAGAGTAATTGCAAGCAGCTAGGCTAGGTGGCGCTTGGTACCGCCCAATTCATGTTCTACAAAAAATAATTTATTCTTTTCAGGCCACTACTGCGCTTCAGAGCCGCTCTCCTCCGCTTGGGGATCCTCTACTATAGACACACATTACACTTATTACAAGCATTAGGTGAACATACATTGACCACATACACGGCACACACACAAATATCAATACAGCGGGACACCACACTAACCGAACACTACACCCGTGCTCTGCGTCTCCGTCTTTTATACTGGTCGTTTTGAACGTACGGAACTTTTCGGTGACCCCCTAAGCAATAAAAAATATTCCCAGCATGTTGATTTTTTCCCAGCAATGTCATTCCTCTGAAAGTATTTTAAATGGCTCAAGGGATGAATCTCTTATTAAAAGTAAACGCTCGATCTGCCGTAATTATTTGAAAGTCAATAAATCAAGCCGCCCTAATGCGGTTCGAAGCCATGAGTTTGTTTCCCCACACGGCACGTCGTAGCCTGTATTTCTATTAGTTTTTCTATTTGTGCTGTTCGCGCAAAGCTGCAATTGCCGTCTTGAATTAATCTCTGTAGAGCGGATATTCACTCAGCTGGAAGTTATGCTTCACATGCTGAGAAATCGCTTTTCGATCAACTTGAATGCTGTCAAAGCGGCGACTTGCGGCAGGTGTTCAGTGTACGGAGCTACGCCGTGGCGAGCTCAAAAACGTCTAGCGCTCATCCCAGCGCGCCACTTGGAAGGCAGTTTCTCCAGGAACCGTAGTATATTTAAACACCAAAATAAAGGGCAGCTTTTTTTTCGATTTTAC